AAATTAACCTAAAATTAAAGTAATAAGTATTAATCCATACCATACACTTATTTAAACCCGAAATTACCCTAAAATTAAAGTAATAAGTACGTTCTGTCAAATAATATACACGTTTAAACGGTCCTTTGTAGCAGCGAAATGATTGACGTGTCCATTGGAGCCGAGGCTGACGCTTTAATGGCTCCGACATTAACATAATCGATATTATCGGTCTCATTTCAGTTCGTTTTCAGGTTTTCACGGCGGAATAAGCAAATTATATGGGTTCAAACCACGATATAGTTATTAACTGCGACCATATTCAGTTTATAGAGAGGCAATATCAACTATAAGTTTCTAAAGATACGATTTTTTGGGTATTTTAAGTTCAAGACTTAAGTTGCACTTCCAACATTAGACCATTTTTTGTAACTGCCTATTTTATCATAATACTTGTAATGTTATGTATATTCGCTGTAACACGTCTAAATCTTCAACAAACATTCAAATTGTTTGATTTTTATATTAGTATCTTACTTAATACTTTTTCGAGCCCTTACTATGTCTCTAGTGATCGTAATAGTCTAAACTCTACGTTTCCAAGTGGTTTGGTGGATGCATAAGCTGACAATTGCCGTCTATAGTTACCCACACCACTCAAACCTATCATTCCGCTCTCTATATCGGGGTTGTACTTCTCTCACCCACTTATTACGACCAAGGGAGGGTAGTAAAACGGTAGTAAATTACTAGTTTTGACCCCACAACCGTTGAAATATTCAAGGCATTAGAATTTGTTCGTCTAATTGCAGACTTTGGCCGGAAAATAGAATTACACGGTTTCTGTATGGAGGGGCGGTATTTTTCGTCAAATATTCATTCGGTTATGACAGGTTGGGGATAGTTTCTTTAATGGCTGCTCGATTGCCGGGCATATTAGGGTATATTTAGTTGTATTCTGTAATGACAGGAAGCATTGTTTCACCTCTTTGCGTATTTTTTGAGTTGGTTGTTTCTATTACTTTTCTTCGAGGCATTTTTATTCTGATTTGTTTATCTGATGTTAATTATCAAGGAAAACATGTAATTTTTTGCTAAAAGTGGTTTTTATTGAGTTTTATCTCTAATTTTCTTTATAGTATACAAAGCTGATGCACCAGGTCTTGTAAAATTATTTGTGTTACTTTTCTTCGAGGCATTTTTATTCTAATTTGTTTATCTGATGTTAATTATCAAGGAAAACATGTAATTATTTGCTAAAAGTGGTTTTTATTGAGTTTTATCTCTAATTTTCTTTATAGTATACAAAGCTGATGCACCAGGTCTTGTAAAATTATTTGTGTTACTTTTCTTCGAGGCATTTTTATTCTAATTTGTTTATCTGATGTTAATTATCAAGGAAAACATGTCATTTTTTGCTAAAAGTGGTTTTTATTGAGTTTTATCTCTAATTTTCTTAATAGTATACAAAAGCTGATGCACTAGGTCTTTTGTGGATATTAAACAACGCAAAATAACTGATTTAAAAGACCATACGGCGTTCCGAGCAAATAAACACCATCTTTCATCAATATTTTGTATTTTACGACCTTTTATGACAAATGTCTGTTAATATTCTGCTTCTGTGCACATTAGCCAAGGCAAAATAAGCGATTTAAACGGACGTTTCGAGGAAAGAAATATTAGAAGTCGCGCTCTTCGGGTTTGAGGTCGTTTGTTGGCCATATAAAAACGAAACTCGCGGATGGCGACAAAGTATTTACGACCTCTCGAAACGTTTACGGAGCCATTAGGCGACGTTATGGCCATCTCGCGTCGCGTTCGCGTAATTAGTTTTCAGACTTTCCGTTAAAGAAAAAGCGCCTTAAATGCATTTTCGGTCGATTCCAATGACACTGAGGAGGTTTTGCACGTCATTATTGAATAGAATCAGTTTTAGATAAAGAATACAGAAAATTCGATATATTGGAGCAGGCATTGTAAAATTAATTGGTTTTTGTGGATCCTAAAATCGATCATATTTTGATTTTTAGACGTTTTGTTGTAACAATACCCTCATTTGATTCAAAATGGGTGCATTGAAGAAATGTAATTTAAGCCTAGACAGATATTATAAATAAACCAAAATAATTATAGAAATAAAGATGTTTAATGTTGATAATGGTCTGAACAAATTAGGTAAAGAAAATAAAGTACTCCAATTTTGGATGCCAGTTTCATTTTTCATTCCTCTCGAGGGATGATACTCTAGGTTCCAACTCACCAAGGAATAGAAGGTAACGAAAACGCAAACAATCTAGCTAGAAATGGAGCGAACAGTCCCACTACACGGAAAAAAATCATTTCTATATTCAAGAACAATCATACACTTAAAATTTTACACTTTCTTTAAGGATAGTATTCTTTCCATGCGTACAACAAATATTTGGAACTATTTTACTTTTACACTTGCTTTTTAAATACAGTTATAGTCACTTTAAGTAATTTTGAATCTAAAAAAAAAGAATAAAGTGACTTACATTTAAGAAAAACTTATATTACTATCAAGTGAATAAATCCTTTAGCAACGAAGAAACTATGATTAAATGAAGAATAAATGCTTTTATATAATAATAAGTAGTATTCTTAACTTTTTTAAAACTTTTACTTGAAATCGGTGTATTAAGACTTTAAATAAGTATATTATTTTCGGCGCGAGAATAACACCCCATTTCCAAGAGTTACTATTCTTATATTAAGTGACCATCCCCAACAGCAACAACGCAACAGTGCATTCCTGATTCCTATCTTCATTTGGTTTCTGTTTCTCCTCTGCGACACGAGACGCGCCGGGTACTTTATATAAAGTTTTTTTGTTATCGTTTGTGCTTGTGATATGTTAAAATGGAGGACCTTCTTCAGGCATGGGAGATGACGGATTTGATCCCAAAATTTCAAGGTAATTTTAGCAATAATCCTACATTATTTGTCGACATTGGTTTGAGGTTAGGGGGACTCCATTTTAATATGCATTATTTCTTATACATTGGTGGTAAACTAGGTATGTACGCGTTTGGAATGATTCAATTATGTTTTAACAATTTTTATTATCGTTTCTCATTTTCAATTAGCGATGCCGCTGTTCAATATCTACCTATATTGGGAAATTACACAGTTTTATTGTATTTTCTTATTACGAAAAGCAAATAATTTGGTAGGTGATGTTTGGCTAATCTAATTTAAAAAGTATTAACCATATTCGGGGTTATTCGTTATTCTGGTGATATTTCAATATTCCATACCTATTGGAAATGGAAATTAAAATTTTTAGCATGTCCCAACTCTATTATATTCATGTATGTTACCGGGCAAACCCGATTTTAGGATAAACTAGTTTTTCGTAGGACGAATATTAACCGGGATCGAAAAACTATATAGTTCTCACAAAATTCGGTAACGTGTTCCCTATGCTTTCGGAGGTTCGGGTTCGATCTTGTTAGAAACTCTTGTTTTGCAAAATAAAAACACTAAATCACCACAATACACCAAAACACTTTTACTTTTACACTGGACGCGCGTTTCGCTAACCATGTTAGCATCATCAGCAGATGATTATAACTCAGCAGATGATTATAACTAAACTCTCAGTTTATAATCATCTGCTGGTGATGCTAACATGGTTAGCGAAACGCGCGTCCAGTGTAAAAGTAAAAGTGTTTTGGTGTATTGTGGTGATTTAGTGGTTTTATTTTGCTGTGTAACACCAAAGGTTCCAACCCTCAACTGTAACTCGTGTTTTGGTAAAATATTTTCTTAATTTCCATTTACAATAGGTATGGAATTTTGAAATATCACCAGAATAACCCCGAATATGCTTAATACTTTTTAAATTAGATTAGCCAAACATCACCGACCAAATTATATGCTTTTCGTAATAAGAAAATACAATAAAACTGTGTAATTTCCCAATATAGGTAGATATTGGACAGCGGCATGGCTAATTAAAAAGAAGAGAGACAGTAATAAAAATTGTTAAAACATAATTGAATCATTCCAAACGCGTACATACTACCAGTTTACTACCAGTGTATAAGAAATAATGCATATTAAAATGGAGTCCCCTAACCCCCAACCAATGTCATCAAATAATGTAGGATTATTGCTAAACTTACCTTGAAATTTTGGGATCAAATCGCCATCTCCCATGCCTGAAGAAGGTCCTCCATTTTCACATATCACAAGCACAAACGATAACAAAAAAACTTTATAATTTTATAAATTACCTAGTCGGCGCATCTAGTAACTAACCTAAAAGTAAGAAGAGGCTTTATTTTATAGTAGGTGATATTACACTTGAATAAAATAATTATTACATGTACACAAAGAATTTCTATACTTAATGCAATAATTTGCTAATTTACAAATAAGTCTAAGTAGTACTCGAAACAAGATTTTATCTCGAATTGTCTGGAGTGTAGTTATAATCTTAATTTCAATACTAGGTAAATCTTAAATAAAAGATAAATTTTCTTAGCTTCTAAGGATAAGGTTTTCTTGAAAAGAAGTATAACTAGATTTGCGGAATGGGGAAACTAGCATATCGTTGGTTCAAGATTAATAATCTTTAAGCCAGTTTAGCTTTTTTTCCGTGTACACTTTGAAATTCGCTGACGAGCAGGTTATTTGTGCAGGAGACAAAGATGACTTGGAATATATGACATGAAGAAAACTTGGAAAGTGGAATACCAAGTTTGGAGGCTGGAGATGAACATCACACACTAACTATTTCTGTGTTGCATCGGATCAAACAGCAATAAAACTAGATAACGAATATGTACAAACATGTAACGAATACAAATACCTAGGCGTTACTTTAGATAAATCCGGGAAAGACGACAACAAAATAAGCTCGAGAATAGTCAAGGCCAGAAATGCAATAAAATGTCTGAATAATATACTCTGGAGTAACGATAGGTAAAGACAGAAAACTAAGAATTTATGATGCGATAATCAACAACCATCTGGTTTTTGGGACGGAAACAATGAGGTTAACGGAGAACAACAAAATAAAATTACTGGCGGTAGAAATGGACGCGATAAGGAGATCAGCACGAACATCACGGCTGGATAGAGTACGAAACGGGACAATCAGGGACAAAATGGGAAGACAGAAAACTATAGTAGAGGAAATAAAGAGTGCCCAACTGAACTGGTATGGACATGTGAGAAGGATGGACAACACGCGACTGCCTCAGAAGGTACTAAACTGGCTTCCACAAAAGAGAAGGAAACGGGGAAGACCGAGGATAAACTGGATGGAGAGTGTAAAGAAGGCGATGAGCTCAAGGGATCTGCGTGACGGAGACTGGGATGAACGAAACCAATGGCAAATCGTCTCAGATGCTGGCTTTGGTCAAAGACCTGAAACCGTATGATGAGTTATAACTGAAGAAAGGGGGACACAGTAGAACTATAAGGTCGCGGTGATTAGGTTCTCCCCTCCTATACACTCTACACTACCAAACATTGTAATAACTGTCAATTTCGTTAAAATTACTATTGAAACGGTCTTTCCAACATGACAAGTCGCAGTCGTACCGACTTGAAACATATCTTGACAGGCCGTCATTAACAATACCAACAAAACAACAGATAAATGCGGGTTCGCGACGTTCGGAAAATATATAATTGGCATTGGGGCGAGCAAAACGAACCCTAATTACGTCGATTACTCCGCATAAATTAACAGTCGGTTTCTATTATGCCCGGCCGCGTTATTAGCGTTGAGGAAATTACGGTTGCCGAGGTATTACGCTCGTACGCCAAGGCGCCAATTACGCTTTAAATTTCAATTCGAAATGATAGATTGCGAGCGGTGAGGCCGCATTGTTTCGCTGAAACGAGCGCGAGTTTTTATTTGGTACGTATCATAGGAAATCTTATTTCACACGGTTTCTATAGTGCTCTTAAACGAATTGTAATAACACGTTAAGTACGTATTAATTTGTAGCAATTTAAGGAGATAAATTAAATGTAATAATTACGTTACTGTGTGTTTCCTGGGTGTTTACAGAGGAATAAAGTTATTAAGAATAAAGTTGTAAATAAGTATTGTGAATATAATAATATATAAAACGTCAGAATTCATAACTGGCAAAGGAGTACGACAAAGATACGCAATAATATATCCAAAACTGTTTACAGCAATACTATGATGGTTGACTTCCGTTAACTCGACTTGAGGATTGTAAGTAATTGGAGTAATCAGTACAGTGAAAATCGACAACTATGAAACTATGATCCCTTCCCAGACACAAATGGTACATTGTGAAACAGGAAATTGTAGAGAGAAACAAGCCTTATAACATAGGATACAACATTTTAATGAACAGTGCTTTCCATAAAGTCAATAAAATGAAAAATATACGAAATAATATACATGTACTGATTTCTTTCGAAAATCAACTACGAAACTATGAACCTTTCCCGGACACAAACGGTACATTGTGAAACAGGAAATTGTAGAGAGAAACAAGCCTTATAACATAGGATACAACATTTTAATGAACAGTGCTTTCCATAAAATCAATAAAATTAAAAATATACGAAATAATATAAAGGTACTGATTTCTTTCGAAAATCGACAACTACGAAACTATGAACCTTTCTCGGACACAAACGGTACATTGTGAAACAGGAAATTGTAGAGAGAAACAAGCCTTATAACATAGGATACAACATTTTAATGAACAGTGCTTTGCATAAAATCAATAAAATTAAAAATATACGAAATAATATACATGTACTGATTTCTTTCGAAAATCGACAACTACGAAACTATGATCCCTTCCCCCACACAAACGGTACATTGTGAAACAGGAAATTGTAGAGAGAAACAAGTCCTATAGCATAGGATACAACATTTTAATGAACAGTGCTTTCCATAAAATCAATAAAATGAAACATATATACGAAATAATATACATGTACTGATTTCTTTTCAGTAAAAATAGCTGAAAAACAAGGGTACAAAAAATAATTTTCTCACAAAACCAAGGTACCTAAGCCTTCAAAGGTGTATATATTCTGAATCTACATAAAATTTCCTACAAATGCTGACATTGTTATAATTATATGTGTATGTTTACTATTCTTCTAAGACCCTTAAAGATGAGTATAAAATAGCCAAAAATGGACATTTTTTATATTTATATTTTTATATTTAGTCATGAAAATTGGCGACTTTTGTCGTGTCACCGATTTTGTTAAAACTGCTGTTATTTGCTAATTAAAAAGCATATATTAAGAAAATATAAACTATTGTAGTCTTAAAAAAAAACGAGAACAGTAAGAGTAACATCATCAAAAATAGCTCAAGAAATATTTTTTCACAAAACTAAACTCTTGAAAGGTCTACATAATATGTATATAAAACTAATCATACACTTGCAGATACTAGACATAAACATTGACTATTATCATTAGTTTTAGCTAAAAATATTTTATTATTTTGAATTAAACCAGCTTCTTTAAGTTTTTTTAGTTTTTCGTTGGATTTTTAAGTTTTTTCGTCGAAAGACATAAAATAATGGTACGACACTGCCTCGTACGCCCCTGCCGAAGGAAAGGTAATAGCCGGGCTCCGATACAGACCGGTACTTAAACAAATTGCTGCCTTTTCAGACACTAATAGGGCCCTGATTACAATGCACCACTAGCAATAAATATTATTTTAATTAAAGACCAGGTAACGAGTGTTTTGGTTCGGGAATGACTCATGACATAAGGTCTGTCTTTGTTTCCTCTGTAGAAAACGGTGGTAGAACTAAGAAAAAATGATATTTTTTGGTAGATTTTAATAAAGAAACGATGATATTCATTAAAATGTTGTATCCCATATTATAGGGCTTGTTTCTCTCTACAAGTTTCTGTCTCACAATGTACCGTTTGTGTCCAGGAAGGGTTCATAGTTTCATAGTTGTCGATTTTCGAAAGAAATCAGTACATGTATATTATTTCGTATATTTTTCATTTTATTGATTTTATGGAAAGCACTGTTCATTAAAATGTTGTATCCTACGTTATAGGGCTTGTTTCTCTCTACAATTTCCTGTTTCACAATGTACCGTTTGTGTCCAGGAAGGGTTCATAGTTTCATAGTTGTCGATTTTCGAAAGAAATCAGTACATGTATATTATTCATATATTTTTCATTTTATTGATTTTATGGAAAGCACTGTTCATTAAAATGTTGTATCCTATGGTACAAGGCTTGTTTCTCTCTACAATCTCCTGTCTCACAATGTCCCGTTTGTGTCCAGGAAGGGTTCATATTTTTATAGATGTCGATTTTCGAAAGAAATCGGTACATTTATTTTATTTCGTATATTTTTCATTTTATTGATTTTATAGAAAGCACTGTTCATTAAAATGTTGTATCCTATGTTATACGGCTTGTTTCTCTCTACAATTTCCTGTCTCACAATGTACCGTTTGTGTCCAGGAAGGGTTCATAGTTTCACAGATGTCGATTTTGGAAAGAAATCAGGACATGTATATTATTTCGTATATTTTTCATTTTATTCATATATGAGTTTTTTGTGAAAGATCTCGAATGATTTTTTTTATTTAATGTAGGTACTTCTATAACGATTTGAAGCTGTAAAATTACTTTTTTTATTCGAAAACTTCTACAGGGTGTTTCAAAAACATGTGTCATCTCTCGTGGGGAGATTCCTCACGTAAAAGTCAGATTTATTTTTCATATCAACATAGGTCCCCGATTTTTTTTTGTTTCGTAGCTACAGGGTGCTAAAAGCCTTACTTTCGATTTATTATAATTTTCTTAGTACTTAGTGATTCGAATGAAATTTTGAGGGTAAAAATGACTTTGAGTGCTACATATTTTACTGCTAAAGAAACTCGATGATCACTAAAATATTTTTCAAATAAAAACAAGTGCGCCACTGACTTCTTTTCTTTTAATATCAAAATTGTGTTGGCCGTTTAATGCCAATTAAAAATTATCTTTTGATATTTTGTCGAATCGGCCTCCTTGATGAGATAAACGCACAATTTGATTAATCACAATTAATAAAATTAAATAAAAATTAAATTAATTAATTATATATTTTACCTAATTTATTACATATTAAATTATTACTATTAGTCCAACCTACAGCAATTTCAAATAAAAAATAATGGTATTTAAGTTAATTATAAAAAACATAATTTTAAAAAGTTTTAACATCCTGTAACTCTAAAACTATGCATTTCCATACCCATGTTTATAGGAACTTTTTTTCATATTTTTTGATGAGAAATCAATGAGTACTTAAGTCACTGGCGTGCATGCTTTTTTTTGAAAAATATTCCCTTCATAACCTATATGCACGTCCCTGGGGAATATGTCAACACTTTTTTAGTTTTAAAATATGTCGCATTTATAGCAACTTTTACCCTCAAAATTCATCAATCATTCGAAACGCTAAAAGTACTTGGAAGAAAATTATAATAAATCGAAAAAATATTAAGATTTAACACCCTGTAGCTACGAAACAAAGCAGAATCGGACCTATGTTGATATGAAAAATTAATCTTCTTTTTACGTGAGGAATCTCCCCACGAGAGATGGCACATGTTTTTTGAAACGCCCTGTATATTGAAATCTAAGTTTATAACCATAATAGTAACAAACTTGATACTTAACAAGACTTAAAACTGCAGCGTTATTTTAATTCGTTTTTTTTAACATCGAATTGTCTTCAATCTTTCAGCGACAGCGTATCAGAAAAGATAAAAGAAACATACAAACGCCCGAATTAATGATGCCAATAAAGAACGAGAAAAAGACCAAGAAGAAGACGAAGATGGCAAAGAAGAAAAATGAGTGGAAGTCGAAAATATCGACAACGAAAACAAGACCTCTTAAGCGGCGCTTAATTTATGCGGCTTGTAAAACAGCGCCGTTCGTATAGCGCCCGTATGTCGTTGTGACGGCGCATTAATTTGCGCAATGATATATTGCGCCACCGCTAATTGGATACACTCGCTAATTAAATGGGCATAATTAATCAGGCTGCGAGCGGCGATCGGACAGCGACAGCAAAGAAATCGGCTGCTGTCGATGCGGCCGTTGTTCTTAACGCGATACTCAACGCGGATGTCCATAAATTACTTCCTTTAGCTTAATACAGCTTGATCAAATACGTTTATTTCTTACTGAATTAATATAAGCTTGGGAATTAAGATGCCATAGTTCCTTCTACCTTTTTAATTTTTACCTATGTATAATATAAATAAGGAAGGAAGAGTCAATATTTTTAATTCTCTAAAAGAGCCCCGGCAATGAGTTCTGCTGTTTAGTTCGATATTCACTGGGACTAAACAGCAGAACTCATTGCCGGGGCTTTTTTAGAGAATTAAAAATATTGACTCTTCCTTATTTATATTTGAATCCGTTTGCCTAATACGTAAACATGTATCAGCTTCTCAAGAAAGGCCATCTCACACTTATCCACTCAGGAACGCGGAGCAAGATCTTTATCTACCTACCCCACGCTCAGAGTTAGTTAAAAGTTCAATATTATACAACTCGAAAAAAATGCACAATCACCTGCCATTTGAAATCAAATCCATAACATCATTTTTTTCATTTCGCAAAGCATTGAACTCTTATTTACTAGACAAGGCTTTCTACGCCGTAAATTAATTATATTTGAATTGAAAATCGAATTTGATCTTGAAAACACTGGTCTAATGTTTGCTATTGCTATATTTACTAATGACATCGAAATTAATTTATTTAGAGGTCATTAATATTTTGCTATAAACTGGCTAAATATTTTTGAATATTATTTTATTTTTTTTTGTTCTTTGACATTGTAAACATTTATATATGTTTATTTTAACAATAAGGCTGACAATATTATTTGTATAATGTTTTGTATTATCTTTTGTTTGTTTGTTTGTGTACCTTGTTTTTTTTTACTTTGTTTGTTAGTTTACCTTTGTCCACAAATTGAAAAATTTTTTGACAATAAAGGCATTTATTTATTTATACCGTTTTTTAATTTTTAGAGAATATCAAATAGAGACTAATTAATCAAAACCTATCTAAACCTCCCTGTAAAAAATTAAAAATTCCTAGATTCTCGGTCTTTTACCAGCTTGCAAAAGAACGAAATTATATGAAATGGGAAATGGCAAAACGACCCTATCAATATTTCAACGGCGACTACATGTTTTGGGTTTTAATCGTTCAAATATTCAACCAGATCTCCTCAATAATTTAGAGCCACTTTGTCCCGATCCCTGATCGCTAAACTGTATTAAAAATTCACACAGTTGCCGGTTGCCGTGGCAATGAGCAAAATAAAATTGATTCCGCTAAAAGTGAAGCCACGTTAAACGATACAGAGGATGAATTTAGTGATGGAACAGAGGAATCTGATGGTATATCATACAAAATAAGTGAATTTTTAGTTAATAATGCGGATAATGTCGATAATAATGTCGCCTCAATGAACACCTCAGTAGATTAAAGCTAAGAAACACCGGGGAATGTAGATTCTGTTGGGAAAATAGCGAAATAACCTCTGTAACCCCGTCTCAGAGACTGGTTTTGTCAAAATACCGACTGTATAATGAATTATAACACAAGAAAAGGGGGACACAATAGATATATACGGTCCTCCCTCCTATACAATCTGGATTCTAGTTAAAAACTCTACATTAGAATAGTTAATGAAAACATTGTTCTCTCTGAAGCTAGTTTAAGAGATTTTTAGTTGGCGAAGGAACCAAAATACAATAATTTCTCGAAACAAAGTGTGATAAAATATATACAAGATTATTTCTTATCAGTGTACAGATGAGACAACAATCTTTCTTTATCGATGGCTTTGGAAAGTTAAACAAACTGCAATTTCTACACACGTCCAATAAATTACAACTATATTTTTCCTGTTCAACATTCGGCATGTAAATATTGATTGTGCAGTTGCATTATTTCCAGGATTTTACAGAATCAGTCATCGTTTTAGACTCGAGAGCATGGAAAAACATAGAGGGGCAAGACACTGATAATCTATATATAGTATATTTATGGGTTAGAACGTCTTGCGACGTTGTCCGATGCCTAACTTCCACGTCTTCCGATCGTTCCATTGTCTCTCGCTTAGATTTCTGGCACTCATTGCTCTTGTGACACCCTCCTTCCAAGTCTTCTTAGGTCTTCCACGTTTTCTTCGATATTGGGGTATCCATTGCATAATTTGTTTTGGAAGTCGTGTGTCATCCATCCTCTGGACAGGTCCGTACCACATAAGTTGTGGGCGTTCGATGTCGGTTGCCAAAGATCCCTCTATTCCTATCTTCTGTTGGATTTCTTCGTTTCGGACTCTATCTCTGCGGGAAATTCCTAAGGTTCTTCTATAGGCTTCCGTCTTTTCCTACCGCTTCCGTCTCTGCACCATAAAGTAGACTGCTCTTTACCAGGGTCTCGTATATATTGATCTTCCGTTTCTTCCCTATTTCATTACTCCAAAATACTCCATTCAGACAGCCAATTGTTCTTCTAGCTTGTGATATTCGTTTTTTAATTTCTTTGTCATCTTTAGCTGTTGTATCAAATATCACTCCTAGATAGGTGTAGTCATTGCAGGCTTCTATCTCTTCATTTTCTAGATGTACGCTAGATAGTTCTGCACCAATAGGTAGATATTTAGTTTTTTCTGTATTTATTTCCAAACCCCATCGTTGATATTCCTCTTGTAGTTTCCTTGTCATGTACTCCAAATCATCTTTATCGTTGGCCATAAGAACTTGATCTGCGAACTGCAGGGTATATAGACAGGTATCTCCCAGATTAATGCCCATTCCATTCCACCCCCTTAAACTGCTTGACGTTTAAAGCTGATTTTTGGCAAACGAATTGACTGTGGGGTGTAGAGGTTCGATAAGGAGGGGTTTCTCGAATCTCAAATTCCAAGAGGGTGAAAAGGCCCCTCAATATTACAATATTTGTTATTTAAAAAACGGTTAGTCTTTCGGGAAAAAGCTTGGACACGCATAATTTATTTTGCTTTTTTACATATTTAGATTTTTTTTTAAAAAATCACAGGGTGTTCCAAAAAGTTGGGTAATTGAGTAACCACGATTCTGCTTAAACTGCTTGACGTAAAAAGCTTATTTTTGGCAAACGGATTTTTCGAAAGTCAAATTCCAACGAGATGAAACTACCCCTCAACGCCAACGAAGTCGCGGGTACACGCTAGTTTATTATAAAAATATATGTCTAGTATATGACGTAAAACCTCTAATCGACACAATACCGTGAATGACACCATTATTCTCAATTTTCGTCCCCTCTATACCCTTTTTATGATCTACGGCACTCGGAACAACGAACAGCAATAAATATCGGAACATAAACCGATAAAGCCCGAACGCTGTAACAACATGCCATATTTATTAATTCATTTTATTCCCGTTATTGATGATTTTTCCGCTTAATGCCGCAGATAAACTTTTTACGACCCGCTGACAAGTTATTCCTTTATTCCCTGTCGGCCGTTTGCCCCCCGTTCTCCCAGTTCTATACCCGTTATCCCCCAATCGACACTAATGAAATATGTCGATAAAAATATGTTTTTATTTCAATAAAAGGCTTTCGCGTATTGTTCCGTCTGTAATCATTCTGTTTGTTCGTTTAATATAGTTAATTATTGTGTTTTACTCCTATATTATACAGGGAGATTCATATTAAATGGCTTTTTCGCAAATCTTTAATTTTGTGTAATGTAAAAAAAAGCCACACTGATAAAAAAGATACACTTGAACTAGTCGTCATCGTTCTTGAAAAAAAAAATTAGTGACAAGAGAATTTATTTTAGCGTAAAAGAAAATATTTTGCCTGAAGAAAAACTCTCTTAACTCAAGAAAACTGGTTCTCTTGAAAAATTTCTCTTGAATCTATTTTCATTCAACCAAGTGCAAGTTACTTTGTTTTAAGATAATAACAAAAATACGCTAGGAAGTACTTCATTCAAGAAACATGGCCATTTTTCCAATAGCTAAATACTCTTTTGATGAAAAATAATAACTACACGCAAAGACAATGACGAAGGACGGTATATACAATCAGTCGGCAGTCCGATCAGTCGTACATAATAGTACGCAAGGGTTTTGTTGCTTGGAATTTTCCACTTGGAATTTTGCATAATTTGCTTTTTAAACGCATATCGTATAACAAATTAGTGATCGTTATTAACATGCATTTGTCATTTTTATGGACAAATTTTAGGATATATGGATTCTTTAAAGGAGTTTCTGAAAAATGGAAATTAGAGCATTTATTTGCTATATTTGAAGGTAAGAGACATTTACCTAATGCACCTGTTTAGATAATGCATGTGTGACTATAGATAGAATAAGAATATAGGTATCGATTTTTTATGCAAATAATTACAAAAATTTTAAAATTTGAAGTCGTCGTATTAAAAATTCAAAATGTGACCAAAGCCTATAATTTTAATAATTTGCTTTAATCGTTTTTTGATTAATCGTGATGTAATATTTCTTTCTAATTTGTAGAGTGATGAACCACCCCAAAAAATACCAAGGAGTGAAGAAGCAGAAATAACTACTATATCGGAAAATAATATCACTTTACTTACTACAGACCAGAAAAACCTAAATTTATCAGAAAATAATATACCTCGTAATATGCCTGTACATGATGTATAGACTTCTCTTAGATCAAAATAAATTTTAGTCGAGTCAATAGTATTCGCTATTGGTTTAAGAAAAGTGTCTCTTTAATCAAGAAATGTCCCTTTTCAATCAAGAATTTTTGCATGAATCAAAGAGACTATTGTTCTTGTAGCAAGAACTTCTTTGCATATTCATGTTGGGTCAAGAGTGAAATACTTTGGACTGATAGATTCTTCTATTCTTTAAAGTAATTTTTTAAAGCTTATGAAAAAGATAGTTAATGCTTTGGGCAAAGAAACGTCGTTCTTGGCCCTATTGAAAAGCGCCAATCTTTTGGGTCAAAGTCATATTCATTTCGACTGAGAGATCCTTTTTTTTTCAGTGCATCCATGCTTTCAAATACCGAGTGTATTACGCTGTACTGTTGAAAGAAATATATATCATATTTCAAAAATCTGGCTAAGGCTTAGCCCGATCCTGTCGTGTTAAGCCACAGCCAAAATTCCAAACACACTTGCTTTGATTAAGGCTTGATTAGGGTTTGCAGAGCTTCAGCATTTGCCATAAAATAGCGAGCAATTTGTTACAAAACCATATAAATTATATATCACTGTAATCACAAAACTTCAATCTATTTCCGTATTGTAACGGAATTTTAAATTATGTCTTTATTTTCGAGAAAATTTAGTCCAAACATAAGGAATATTTTGTTGATGTTTGACCATCAAAATCCTAAAAATAAAGAAGTTGTTCAAAATTTTCCTACAATACGGATATAGTATAATCCTTTATCTTTAATTTCCCTCTTCATTTGTGTAAAAATACCTAGCCAGTTTTAAATAAAACGTTAAAAGCCGAACGCTTATTTTGCTACTTTTTCAGACTAGTGAAATAGAACATGTCATCAGGACACTCTCAGAACCTGTTTGAAACGCTCTTTGACGACTTTTTGGACAAAACTAATCATACTATAAAACCACAATGCATTATTGGCTGCAGACACTGTTTCCTCAATGAACACCTCTGTAGAGCGAAGCTGAGAAACAACGGCGAATCCAGATTCTGTGGGGAAAATGGCAAATAACTATTTCCTCTCATTTTTTATCGACTTATCAAAAAACCCTCATACTACATGCAACATCGATGACCAAACTGAAGAAATTGGCGTTAAAATTAAAACATCGTCCACCGTATTTACCAGATTTAGTCCCCATTGACTCTCTTCCTTTCCAAACTTACAAAATATGTCTTCTCATTTTTCATCGACTTATCGATGTACCCTCGTACCGATCGTCCGGTCTGAGACACGGCGAGCCGTCCGCAACGATGATGGATGAGTCCTCGCGACCTTCCTCCGACATCTGCAATCTACCGGCTGGTGATGGATCACCAGATCGTGTCACTGGGTCGTTCATCATCTCCCTGACGGGGTCCTTTCGCACGGAAGGTAACGATACGCTTACGTAAGCCGAGTTAATTGATATTGGTTGACGGGGTGTCGATTAGTATTAACGCGCGATGCACTTATTCTTCAAAAATTAATTGATACATCAGCGTTATCGCCGAAAAGTCTATACAGGCTCGCTTAATAAAATCACCAGTTAGAAACGCTGAACTATATGACAAAAACAAAGTAGAACTTCTTAGCCTTTTATATAAATAACTTTGTTTTTGTCATATGGTTCAGCGTTTCTAACTGGTGATTTTATTAAACGAGTCTGTATAGACTTTTCGGGAGACATCCTGTAGACAATGATACGTTAATATTTAATTTTTTATACCCTGTATACAGGGTGGTCCAAACTGTATTCCGGAAACCTCGGCAGCATATTCTGCAGATAAAAATAAGTAAAAAAGTTCGTATAAATGTATGTCCTAAAAGCCTAAAATGCATAGTTTCGGAAATACAGGGTGTTTCATTTTTATTTCGATTTTTTCAAAATAATTTTTGAATTAACGTCAATATTTGGATGAAAATTGGTGTCTGGAAGTTTTTTGATTTTTACGTAAAAAATATATCTTAGTAAATATCGCTACGAGCAACCGTTCTGAAGATATTTAGAATGAAAATAGTACAATACATGTCATTATTGACAAAAAATAAGCACGTTGACTAGATCGTTATTTGACTGAAATAATAAATTAGGGAAATTTTTATTTTTTTTAAATTAATTATAAATTTTTCTTTGAAAAAATTACGATAAAAAAGTTTCTGTTGAACTTTTGTCAAAAAGGACATAATAGATTTTTCCGGAATAATATTCGGACCACCCTGTATATTTGACATAAATAATATTTTCTAAAAATGTTTTGCGGACGAATATCAAGCAGTTAAGGCGAAGCTAATATTATTTAAACTAAATTTTCTTAGTAAATAATTCATTTAACGAGCTGTGTAATTAGTGGGAAAAACTTGTTTTATCTTTGGGTTACATAAATTATTCAGCCGCAACAGTCGATAAAAGTATTTAACGGAATATTAAATTATAGACTTACTTTAGTCAGTTGTATTATAACTTGAAGAAAAAAAATAATAAAACGGTACGGTAAAGAGAATGAAGCTATTGAAATATAAATATTAATGAATTAATCGTAGATAACTTGAAAAAAAAATATTAAAAATAGATATAATAACTTCCTGATCGTCTAGAATAGCGCAGACACAATATACTGCAAGTTAAACAGATCAAAAATTCGTGTTACGAACTTCCACTATAGTTATTTGACTGAAATTATAAATTTGGGAAATTATGAAAAACAGTTTCTGTTGAACTTTTAGCACAAAAACATTTCAAATTTATGATTTCAGCCTAATAACTATTTAGTCAACACGATTAATTATGTCATTGATGACAGGTATTGATAATTTCAGTTCTAAATATCTCGAGAATCATTACATGTAGCGATTTTTACCAAGAGACCTTTTTTACGTAAAAAACGTCGTAAATGTATATTTTTTACTCAGTAGTTTTATACAGGTACAAACGAAAAGTTATTACTCTTCAAACCGATTTTCATCCAATAACACACTAATTTTCATCCAAATATTGACGTTACTTCAGAAATTATTTGAAAAAAATCGAAATAAAAATGAAAATTCTACACCCTGTATCTCCAAAGCATTTAGGAAGCGTTTTAGGAAATATACATTTATACATTATACATTTATACGAATTTGCTTACTTATTTTTATCTGCAGAATATGCTGCCGAAGTTTCCGGAACACAGTTCGGCCCACCCTGTACACGCCAATGCGAAACCCGTCCAATAAATTCAGCTCCGAAATCCTTATTAATATCCAGGATATTATTAATGGCGATTTCAACATCGAAATAAACATTTTATAACCTCCATCCATCTTATCTGCGTGGATCGCAGCTGCGTGACATTTGCGGCAAAAGGCTTAAACGACTGCCGGCCGTATATCATGACCGCCTCGGGAGAGCCTCTCCGTCGACTGTTCTCTTAAATAACGTGTCTATTTATGGCCGAACAGCGGGAATCTAATAGATAATATTTAACTCCGTCGGATTTTACATGGGTAGCCATTTATTAGGATTAACGGTTGACGTGAACCATAATAGTCTCAAAAATACGATTTTCTTCAAAACAAATCAATATATGGAGTGGTCAGAATTAAAATGGATCAAGTCCAATTTCCTACTATTTTAAGATAATCGTCTTTACACGTTTATAAAATAATTAATTATTAATTGATATATGATTATGACGATAATGAATTCATCATGTGTAATGGTGATGATAAAGCAAAGCAAGAATTTCCATTAACATACAAACTGGATAAAATTTTCTCACATTTATGTCAGCATAAGAAAAAACAATATGGCCATATTATTATATAATTTGGTAATATTTGAGGGGTATAGTTTCATCTCGTTAGAGTTTGAATTTCGAAAAATCCGTTTGCCAAAAATAAGCCTTTTATGTCAAGCAGTTTAAGCAGAATCGTGGTTAATCAATTACCCAACTTTTTGGAACATCCTGTATGATTTTTTTAAAAAATTTCAAAATATGTAAAAAAACCAAATAAATTATGCGTGTCCAAACGTTTTCCCGAAAGACTAACCGTTTTTTAAATAACAAATATTGTAATATTTGAGGGGCGTTTTCACCCTCTTGAATTTGAGATTCGAGAAACCCCTCCTTATCGAACCTCTACACCCCACAGTCAATCCGTTTGGCAAAAATCAGCTTTAAACGTCAAGCAGTTTTTAAGCAGAATCGTGATTACTCAATGGTCATATTTTATGAAACACCCTGTATACATATTTAAAAAATCTTAAAATATGTAAAACAACAAAATAAAATATACGTGTTTAAGACTTTTTCCGAAAAACTCACCGGTTTTTAAATAAAAAATATTCTAATATTTGAGGGGTGGTTTCACCCCCTTAAAATTCGAGTTTCGAAAAATCCCTTCTTATCCAACCTCTACACCCTAAAGCCAATCCGTTTTGTTTAAAGTTTTTTAAATAAAAAATATTGTAATTTTTGAGGGGTGGTTTCACCCCATTGGAACTGGAATTTCGAAAAATCTCTTCTTATCGAACCTCTACACCCTTGAATCAACCTGTATGCCAAAATTGAGCTTAATTGAGCCAATATTTTCACAGATAAAATGGTCCAAAAAGCCCAAAAAAGTATAAACATTCTTAAAAATGACCAGTTTTATTTTGAGTTACTTTATATATTTTTTTTTGTTTGCATTTATACCATTTAAAATATAATAAAGCATTGTGTTAAGTTTTATTTTAATTAAGTAACATTAAAAAACTTTACTCGCATTTTCTCCGTAATTATCTTCCAGGACTTGATCCAGTTCATTTTTGAACCCCTCATATAATGGTTAGTCTATATTTTTATAAATATCTATGGTCTAAAACACCAACTGACACATTCTTAATCTGTATTTTGATCGATTCAACTGCTATTTCTCAGTAATCATAAAAATCTGGTTAAATACACACATGTCATGTCTGAAAAATCATTAATATTAATGAACATTATCTACGCGTCCCAAAATACTGATGTATGGTAATAAATAACTTAAAATTGTCAAAAACAGATCCCCCAAAGTTTAACAGAGTTAAGTGGCGTATCAAAAATACGATCTGTCATCATTTAAAGTCAATTTAGTACTTGAGCAAATACGATCTTATTTATGAGATTGACATGGATTAGAAATCAAATGATTATTGATGAAAAAGTGTATATGTGAAACGGTCTGTCTCAATTAATATTGAAATATATGAATTGGTATTTAAGACAACTCAATGGGAAGTAAAGAAAATGTGATAAATAAGATTGAAGATTTAAAATGTTACTAAAAAATTACAAAATAAATGGAACTGAGCTAGTACTAATAGTACAAAAATACGTTATACAGGGTGGTCCATAAGTAAAAAACTTCGTATAAATGTATGTCCTAAAATGCTTAGTTTCGGAGATACAGGGTGCAGAAGTTAAATTTTTATTTCGATTTTTTCCAAGTAATTTCTGAAGTAACGTCAATATTTCGATGAAAATTGCTGTCTGGGAGTTTTTTAACATGAGAAATTTGATTTTGGTATCAATTTGACTCCTACTTGTAGAGGGCGCCACCTATATATTTATATATATTTCTCTTTTAAAGAGTAATAACTTTTCGTCCCTACCTGTATAACACTACTGAGTAAAAAAATATACATTTACGACGTCTTTTATTTGCTTCCATTTAAAAACCTTTAAAAAAATAACTAGAGAATTACAAAATAAATGGAACTAAGCTTGAATGATATTGAGTATAAGATAAAAAGAACAAAAAATCTCTTTAAATATATAAAAATCAGGAAAAAATTATAAAATATCAAAAATTACCAATAAAAACTTTTTTATAAGTCGATTCTTCAACTTCCTAACAATTCTTTTTAAATATGCAAGTACATATAGGTATTCAAAAAATCATCAACACTATCAAAATATCCATCTTTAATACTCATAATTCCGTATGATCGAAAAAAAAACGGTGTAAAAGACACCTGGGAAATGACAATCGATGAAAATTTTGGCGAAGTCAATAATCTCCACACTTCATTTTCTAAGAATTGACAAAACTCATCGATTGTTATTCCTCAACCATCTTTGACGCCGTTTTTTTTTAATTTCATAAAGTACTTTTTATTATTGGTAAAAAATAAACCTGTCATTTTCTAAAATACTTGAATACTAAAATATTTCTTGCTGTGTTCTACAGAAAAGATAAATTTCAATCATGTTTTTTTTCATCTAAAATACAGTCAGATCATTTAAAAATTTATTAAAATTATGCTAATTTGTTACTCACCGCAAAATTATTAATTATTTTTGTCAAGGAAACGAAACAGTAAATAAAAGAAAAAACAAGTACTACGAACCATTTTTTATTAAAGCATCAAAATCAACATTCAATAATTAATCAATAATAATAATTACAATCCTTAATTTTATCTCCCTCAACAGAGTTGAACTTGTTTTGTGAAAATCGAGACAATCGTCACGCACTCATCAGTCACATCCTTACACGCTCACAAAATCCATTGCACTTATTATCAAAATCTATGTACAAGAATTCAGTATCACAGTCCAAAGGCCCGCTGATCAGGCTAGAACGCATCTCAAAGTCACTACGGATGCACTGCTGCACTTCCAAGTCGCTGACCGTACAGAGAATATGGTGAATAATAAGGTCCCAGGGTGGTTGGATTGAAGGCGCTGTAAGGACTTGCTGCAAGACTAGTAGCAAGTCCTGGTTTGGCGTATGGATGATACCTTGCTGCACTCAGAGGACTCAGAGGTGCTGTGGGGTATCCTGCCCGATGAAGAAGTCCTGCGTGGCTCAGCATCGCCGCGCTACTCGCATCAGAACCGCTAGTGTGTGTTCTCAGGTGTTGCAAGAGCTCGTCAGAGGTAACAAAACGTTTTCCACAATACGCATCGCCAGCAATCCAGTTACAAACGTATGGTCTTCCTAGCGAAGAGTAAGCTAGAGAACTAGGCGGTGTAAGGGACATCGCCATGGCTAGGTTGTACTTTTGATGATCGCACTGGGTACAACCCGAAGGACATGATTGCGAAGCTGCTGCAGCACTCATGAGTAACTGTTGGTTTTGTAAACTGAACTGGCACCCAGCGCAGTAAGGGTCCTTGCACACTGGCACCAAAGCTTCACCTCCCGAAGGAGTTTTAACTCTAGCATAACTCAAATATGCACCAGGAGCCGCTCCGGAATATCCTAACATAGCTGCGTGATGATGACTGAACGGAACTCCAGGAAACGGAGGTCTAAAAGCTGGGTTTGTTGCTGGATCCAATCCAGGGGGACAGCACAAGCCTAGGGAGTTGCTGAGTGATCCAGGCAGAGGCTTGTAAGCACTTAATCCAGAATCTTTTCCGCTTCCTTGAAGTATTTCCAGGCCTGAACGTATAATTGGACTTGCGGACGGAGTAGTCTGCTTCTGGGACTCCGGAGAAGCCTTTCCGTTATCTGTAGCTGGAGAACAAGCACCTCCAGAAGGTGAAACTGACTTTGATCTATCACTCATCGGGGATTTCTTGTCATTTTCCATGCTACTCTTGCTGGAAGGTCTGAGTCCTTCATCGCTACTTCTTTTAGTCAGCACATTGCTTTCATAAGGTTTGAAAGCAAGTTTATTCTCGGATGGAGTAGTGCGATGAATGTTTTTCTCGTTTTTTTCACGAGCCGCAGCCGGTGATGTACGGGATTCAGTCTTGGACTTGTTCTTCTCCAAAGAAGAAACTAGAGGTTTGTTGTTTGGACTGTCCGCTCCGATCTGAGAGCAAGTCTGGGCCAGGAGAGCTAGAGGGCTCTTTTTTGCGTCCAGCTGTAACAACAAAAAACAAAAATATATTAAAATGCTTCTAAAATATTTTTAAAAAATGATATAATACAAAAAAAGGAGAAGGTATTAATAAAAATTAATTCTTACCGTTGTGGGTAATGGACTAAGATAGTCGGGCTGTAAGTATTGGTTTCCGGCAGATGAAAGCATGCCACCTCCTTCTAAAACAACCATTTCGTTCTTTTTTTCACTTAAAGAAACACAAAAAACTGTTGTAAGCTTAGGCTAATGTCTGTATAACTGTTTCAAAGTTTAAAGATAATCACGATCAATTCGCTAGGTGCGCGTAACGATACTTGCGAAGGCTCGTCTGAAACTGACGGTGAAGGGAACCTAAATTCCGAGAGTGGCGAGGCAAGAATGAACACGCATGCGCCCGCAAAAAGCTCGGAATGTTGTGCTGGCCGAGATTGCGGCGTTGTCAGACATTGTCCCTAATCGTACAGTAAAGATTTTTACTCTATACCGAGTTCAATTCATGTTTAAAAGTAGAAAAAACTTTGAATTATTCAAGTCTGAAGCTTTTAAGGATATTTCAGAATTCAAAAACTATTATTAATGTGTTCGAGTTTCTCGAGATATTCTTGATGGTTTAGTTTAATTGCAGCATCGTAATGAGATAATAAGAGATTTATATACACAGATTGTGTTATTATAGTAACACATGTTCTCTTCTGAAAGCAGTTATTCCACTCGCCTGTTGGTAACCTTCAAAATCTGGAACCTTTGAGCATTCAGTCCATTCTTAATTTTTGGAAAAGTAAAAAAAAGTCGTTAGGACTTAGGTCGGAACTGTATGGAGGATGGTCCAGCAATTCGATGTTTTCTTGCTTTAAAAACTCAACTGATTTTCGAGATGTGTGGAAACTTGAATTGTCTTGGTGGAGGATTATTCGTCATTGAGGGTTGGTTTTTCGAAATTCGGCAATTAAATAGATATGTACTAACCAAAAGTTCTTTGATCTTCCAGAGAAATTGTTGCTATGTGAAGCGCTTTTAAGACAAATGTCGCCACCATCTTTTTGGACACACTTTGAGAATGGATTGGCAAACTAACGTAGGTTTTGTAGACCTAGGTAGACCTGTTTTTGGATAGTAGCTAAGACTAATCCGTCCAAGTTTAAATTCTCCATACCAACACAAAAATGTTGACTAATGTGGTGCTTGATTGCTAAAAACAAAAACCAACTCGGCAAGACATTCTTGTGAGACAACTGTCTTCAAATATTGTAAAAAATTATTGCGCGAAAAATTTCTCAGCTTAATTCCATTTTTTCCATAACATAACTGTTAAAATTGCCTCATATCTATCAAAAATAGTAGATAAAATAGGGTAGATTAAATAGATACTTTAACAGCGAGGATAGGTTAAAAACTTTATTCTGCAATCGTGTTTTAAAAATATTCAAATTACAAAGAATCATCTCTATTATTTGTATTCATGAAAGCTATGAGCTTGTTATATCTACAAAGTTTAGATGTTACTATACTACTACGGAAATTTAAACTGTATAGCTTATCCTTAACCTTGAAATATCAATGTTTTCATTGACCACTATTGTACTTTTTAGCAATGAATTGTACGACTATAAACTGGACTGCTGCATTTTCTTTGATTTTTCAGAAAAATATGCAAAAAGTATGTTTTCACTTGATCTTTCGTCTCGCACGTTTTTTAATTGCTTCCATTTTTGTATTCTTTTTCATAAGTTATTCGGGATTTAAGTGGAAGTAATTTGGATATGGCGTTTGTCGCCTCAGCCTGAATATCTGTTGGTAATTTACTTATTTCGTTTTGTGCCATTTCCGGCTCCAATTCAATCAGCAATCGACACGAAAGAGAATTAAAAAATATTGACTCAAAACTGACAACTAAAGAGGCAGCTTTATTTATTCGTGAAATTACATAGAAACCAACGCCAATCCAGCACAACATTTCTTCTACTCGTAATAAATTCCTTGAAATAATAATTTCTGAATATTTTTTAAAACGTAAATTTCCAGACGCCTACTATGTTTCTATATGCAAAATATAAAAGATAACCCTCTTTCAATCTGAAAATAAGAAAACGAAGAAGAAGAAAACCAACAAGAAGTGAAATCAAAGACAACGGAAGCAGTCTCTTCAACCGAATAGATTTAAGGTCAGAGAACCGAGGATTTTACTGACGAATTGGCAACTACGATAGCTCTTCTAAAGCTGAGAGGCAGTGACAAAGCGTTAATGCAGCCGCCGTTCAGGGCTGTCAGATCTGCCACCCACCACGTCGTCGGACTCGCAGGCAACTCTTCACCCTTTTTTGTCGGCGCGGCGCGCTGCCCTCAAAGGGCCGAAATTCGGAAGCCGCCGTGCCAGCGAGAAAAAGGAGAAAATGAAGAAGGGCCTTTGTTCGATTCTTCTTCTTTTGAAACGTCTCCAGCTTAAGTATTTTTCAATCCTCTTTGTACAGGGGATTGAGAATGGTTCCTTGAAAATTGTAGAGTATCTCTTAAAAATACACATTGGGTATCGGATTTGGTTTGGAAGGATTAGAATAGTTAATGTAGATTTGTTTTTGGAAAAAAGGCTTAGAAATAGACAGAACAAAAAAAACAATAAATCATTAGATCAATATTGATTTCCTTGCTGAAATCTTAAAAATGACGCAATATACTTTATTTCTAGCTTATATAGTCTTGATTACGCTAACCATAAATAGAGTTATAACCCTAGATCATATATACTTACGTGGATACATCAACGCCATAAGTTTAGCATTAAAAAATATGTCTCCAACATTATAACTGGAACTGGAATTTGGAAAAATCCCTTCTTATCGAACCTCTACACCCTAGAATCAACCTGTATGCCAAAATTGAGCTTCTTACGTTGAGTGGTTTGAGCAGGATCGTGATTAATCAGTGAGTCAGTCACTTAAGGATTTTATATACAGTCCTTGCCAAAAGTATGGAAACTTTTTTAATTTGTCATTTATGCTGAGAAATTAAAATATGAAATAAAACGACTTATATAATCGTGACCTACAAATAATTTCCTACAAAACCTAATACATTTAAATAAAAAATTACAGCTATCAAAAAATATATAAAAAATTGTGAATATTTTCTTGGTCAAAAGTATGGAAACTTAAGAAGAATGTTTATTAAAATTCAAGATAATATAAAATTACTAATATTTAGTGGACTATCCCTTTGAATTAATTACTTCTCTACATCTTCGTGGAATCGAATCGATCAATCTCGTACAATCTTTACTGGAAATGGCCGCCTATTCAGTTTTTAGCACTTCCCATAATTCATTTTTATTTGAAATAGAATGGCTTCGAATTTTCTATCCAAATGGTCCCATAAATTTTCTATGGGGTTAAGATCCGGAGACTGTGAGGGCCAATCCATTAGTGGAACATTATGTTCATTTAACCAATTTTGAACAAACCGAGATTTGTGCTTGGGATCATTGTCTTGCTGGAACAACCATCTGAGTGGCATTTCTTCATCAGCATGAAGCAGCATATTATTCTCCAATATGTCTTTGTACAAAAAACGGTCCATTATCCCATCAATTTTAACAAGAGGACCAACACCTGAGCGAGAAAAACACCCCCATACCATTATACTCCCACCCCCATGTTTTACTGTGGGCATCTGGTACTTATGGCTGTACCGTGTACCTTTTGGTCTTCGGACATAACGTCTCCCGTCACCACCAAACAGTTGAAACTTGCTTTCGTCGCTAAACAGTACAGTATTCCATTTCTGATAAGACCAGGTGAATTGAGCAAATTTAAAGCGGGCTATCCTATTTTTCTTTGATATTAGTAGTTTCTTCACCGCAACTCTTCCAAAAAGTCCCATGTCATGTCCCATGTCATCCAACCTTCTTCTCACCGTGCGTGCAGATACCGATATTCCCCTTTCACCCATTTCTCGATAAATGTCTGTGGATGTTTTTCTTGGTTGATTTCTTCCCATTGATATTCTCTTCATTACTTTCATTGTCCTGTTGCACAACTTTCTTGGTCTTGCTGACTTAAAAGCTGTTGAAACGTTCCCTGTTTTATTAAATTTACGAATTATTTTCGAAACGGTGCCTTTTAAATGTTTAAATTTTTACTTATTTGAATTTGTTTATAACCGCTCTTGTATAATTCAACTATTTTATTTTTTAAATCCGTAGAGAAATATTTAGACTTGGGCATGATGTTTATATTTATCTGAAGCAAATCGTACCGTTTATCAGCTTTAACTAAATAATTTTAATGTATTTATTTATGGTTTCCATACTTTTGGCCACAAGAAATCTATTGTTCTCCTACAAAAACTGCTAAACAGATTTTTTTCGCTGTGTAACTTTTGGAATACTTTTATTTGCTGATAAGCTGTTCATTTATATTCCTGAGAGTTTAAGCATAGCAATATTTTCTGTGGTATTTTAAAAAGTAAAAAGTTTCCATACTTTTGGCCACCACTGTATTAGTATAGATAACAATTGTAAGCCACAACATTACGTTATTCTGTAACTCATTTTGATTTAAAAACGTATTTATGACGTAAAAATGACTTAAAATTGACGTAGCCGATGGTAACTTGTAATATATCCATTTTAAAGCCACAGAAAATCTTATCTATGTTAATATATCAAGTATATGTTAAAAACTGACTTTTTAGGCCCTCCAGGCTCACTATAAGGACTCTATTTTTTTCTCTCTACGCTACTTTTTACAACAAACATCCGCCATATCCAATAAACCACTTCCGACCGGTGTTCTAGAACGAATGATCACGTTCGAAGCTAAAAATCCTCTCTTGGAACATAAACGGAACCGACAAACCTCAAAAAGGCGGCACCAATAAACCAATAAAATTTACTGATGCTGTAAAATCACTTTGATCTTTCCTAGAGGCTGGTGAATCAGGTGAAATATGTCTTGACGCCGGGGCTATAAAATCTATGGCGGCAATTTTCAATGGACCGCCCCACAGTAATGGTGTTTAGGATGTTTAAGATTATCATTAGCGAGTGGCAGTAAAATGCGATTGAAGTTTTGCGTACCTGCATAATTTGGGTGAGCTGGAACCGAACAAAAATCAACTGACAGATGGTTATTTATGGGAGAACAATATATATTTCAATTTTGAAATTTTATTTTAGAAAGTTCTTAAGAATTATTAAGGGTGAATTTAACTCAGCTTTTTAAGAAAGCTAGATTAGCTTCTTAGGGCTAGTTAGCTTCTCAGTAGATTGAAGCTAAGAAATAACAGCGAATTCAGATTCTGTAAAACACTTTATATGAAAAAAATTACAAATTTCTCGATGATTACAATAGTAATATTTAA